AAGTTCGAGTTGTAGTCCGGTAGGCCCATAGGACATGCGGCAACTCTTCAGGCCAAGCTCCTTTGGCGGCGTCAAGTCGGACTTTGAGGCCGTTTTTTATGAGCTTGTTCACAGCTTCGACTTGACCGTTGGATTGCGGGTGATAAGGTGAAGAGAAAAAATGCTTGATGTTGTATTCTTCGCACAGGGACTCAAGTCGTTTGCCTTCAAATTGTTTACCGTTGTCGGTAATGATGGAGTTTGGCACCCCGAAGCGACAGATAATTGATTTCCACACAAAATCGACGACTTTCTGCTCGGTTATCGTGGTTAACGGTTCGGCCTCGGCCCATTTAGTAAAATAATCGACTGCCACGATAGCAAATCGGACGCCTCCTTTCCCAGTTGGCAAGGGACCTATGAGATCGATTCCCCATTTGACAAAGGCCATGGACTGTAGATTGATTTGAGTTCCTCGGGAGACTGGTGGATGTTAGGTGCAAACACTTGGCATTTCGGGCATTTGCGAACCCATGTGGCGGCATCGGTTTTCAAGGTCGGCCAGTAATACCCTGTCGCAAGATTTTATAAGATAATGCTTGTGCACCGGGGTGACTTCCGCAAATCCCCTCGTGGACTTCTTCAAGAATATACCGTGAATCAGTTTCACTCATGCATTTTAAAAGTGGGACAGAGTATCCCCTTTTAAACAGAGTTTCGTTGTCAAATGTGTACCGAGCTGCTCGAATCCGAAGTGCCCGAGCTTCTTTTGGATCCGGGGGCAAGGCCCCAGTTTCTAGATAATGGATAATAGGATCCATCCAAGTTGGCGGCTTTTGTGATGGTACCGGGTCAACAATTGCGACTTCGATAAGGGTGGTCGATGGTTGTTCTTGCTGTCCGATCTGAACATACTCCATGCTTTCCATTCCGGTACTTGAGGCTAGCCGAGACAAAGCGTCTGTTTAAATATTAAGAGTTCGAGGGATGTGTTCAACGTAAACGGAGAACTTTGATAATTTTCGCTTTACTAAAGAGAGATACGGTGTCAGCCGAGGTTCTTTGACTTCGTACGAACCGTTGATTTGGTTAACAAGGAGTTGAGAGTCTGAGAATACTTTGAGGTGCCTTACATTCATGGATTCAGCTAAATTTAGTCCGGATAGCAAGGCTTCGTATTCGGCTTCATTGTTTGTCGCTGGGAAAAGAAATTTCACCTAGTGACAGAATAATCGGTTTTCCGGGTTCGCTAGGACTATTCCTGCACCGGCTCGGTTGGCTGTCGAGGAACCGTCGATATAAAGAACCCACGGTTGATCATCATGGTGAATCGCTATGGCCGGAGTGAATTCAGTGATAAAGTCGGATAAGGCTTGTGCCTTGTTCGCGGTCCTCGGTTAGTAGTGGATGTCAAATTGTCCAAGTTCAATCGCCCATTTTATCATTCGTCCCGAGGTGTCGGGTCGATGTAAGATTTGGCATAACGGATACGAAGTGCGGACGGTTATAGAATGTTCTTGGAAATAAGGTCGCAATTTCCGGGCTGCAATTACAAGTGCAAACGCCAACTTTTCCATCGGAGGGTAACGTAGTTCGGCATCATGTAAGGCTTTACTGATATAGTAAATGGGTGATTGAAGGGTTCCTTCTTCGCGTACTAAAACAGCGCTGATTGCCGAATCACTGACTCCGAGATACAAAAACAGCATTTCTTTGGGCCTCGGCTTGTGTAACGTCGGCGGAGAGGTGAGTGTTTCCTTGATGCTAATAAGGGCTTTTTGACATTCTTCGGTCCATTCGAAGCGCTTTCCTTTTTTAATTGCTTCAAAGAAAGTTTTGCAACGGTCTGTAGATTTGGAGATGAACCGGTTGAGAGCAGCAAGTCGGCCAGTTAGGGCCTGAACACCCTTAACTGAAGTCGGGGGAGTTAGGTCTTGAATGGCTTTTATCTTGACCGGATTGGCTTCAATTCCACGTTGGCTGACCATATAGCCCAGAAACTTTCCCGATTTAACTCCGAAGGTGCATTTCTTGGGATTTAAGACCATGGAATAAGATCGGAGGACATCGAACATATCTTGAAGGTGTGTTACATGGTCAGTAGCATGCACCGATTTGACGAGCATGTCGTCGACGTAAACCTCCATAGTATGACCAATCATCACGGCAAACATTTTATTGACGAGGCGTTGGTAAGTAGCTCCGGCATTCTTCAACCCAAAAGGCATCATGGTATAGCAGTACAAGCCTCGTGCCGAATAGAACGAGGTGTGTTCGGAATCTTCAGGATCCATCGGAATCTGATTGTAGCCGGAGTAAACATCCATGAAACTCATCAGCTCGTGTCCCGACGTGGCATCAACCATGTAGTCTATATGTGGGAGTGGATAACTGTCCTTGGGACATGCTTTGTTCAAATCAGAAAAATCGATACACAGCCTCCACAACCCATTGCTCTTTTTAACAAGGACAGGATTTGAGACCCATGTCGTGTACCTGGCTTCTTTGATGAATTTTTTGTCGATGAGTTTGTTGACCTCTTCTTCCAGTGCTTTTTGTCGATCCGGCCCCAATTTTCTTCTTTTCTGAACAACAGGACGGATAGTTCGATCGAGGTTTAACTTGTGGCTAGCGACGCCGGGGTCGATGCCCTTCATATCTTCGTGTCTCCATGCAAAAACATCAGAATTGTGTTTGAGGAATGAAATAAGTTCTGACCGAAGAGGCTCTTGGAGATGACTCCCGATACGCAGTGACTTGTGGAAGACTTGTTCGTCAACGTATATTATCTCTACATCTTCTCCAGGTTCGGCTCGATCACTTCGGCTTTTTTCATTAAATTGGGCTCTAGGGTCCAACTCATCTTCTTCAAGGATGGGTTCTTTTCCGGGTCGGCGACCTCGGTCTTCGGTCAAAGGATCCGAGGTGGGAGGATCACCGACGTTGTTGTTTGGTTCTTCGGACACCGTGTTGTTTGAGACGTTTGGTAGTGGAGAATTGCTCGTCGAGGTGGAATGGACTCCGTTGGGTGGTATGAATGTAATAAGTTCTCGAGCTTCTCTCTGGTCTCCAAAGTGTGTTCCTTCTCCGTGTAGTCGGGAACTTCAGAGCGTAGTGAAAGATCGAAACCGCAGCTCGAAGTTTATACAATGCTGTTCTACCGATGATGGCATTGTACTCATTATTGATATCCAGAATCTTGAAGGTTTCCATGATGAGCTTAGTGACATTCTCCGGAGTGCTGAATCTGACAGGTAAAGTGATCTCGCCGATAGGCTTCGAAATACTGCCATTGAACCCTTGTATTTGATCATTGCAGGGTCGGATGTCGGCGGGATCAAGACCCATTTTGTCAAAAGCTTTTTACATCAAATTCCTCGAATAGGCCCCAGTATCCACCATGACGCGATGAACTGGAATTACACATATAGGGACAGTGATAACAAGCGCATCGGAATGAGGGTGTGCGAAATGATTAGCATCCTCCATATTAAAGGTTATGGGACAGTTTCGATTGTTGAGGATGTCTCTCAAATCAGTGGTGTACACTTGCTTGCTTGAGTTATACGCTTGTCGGGCATAGGCTTTGATTTGTCGACGTGACAATGCACTCCGGGAGTTATTGGTGTTGACACGGTGGACGGTGATTTGCATCGGTTCAGGAGATCGATCTCGTTTACGTCCCCGAGCAGTTCCAGTGAAATCTAAATTGAATATTTCCGAGGTGAACATAAATACTTCCTTGTCTCCCTGTCGGATGCGTTTTGGCATGGCGCCCCGGTCCTCCTCGTCATCTTCATCATAAGAGTCACTCTGACGCCGTGGACCTCGTCTCTGGGAGTCAGTGTTGCGATAGAACTTTCTGAGTTGCGGATGACCGATTAAACATAACAGGGCTGCTAACAAACTTAAACATTCATCAGTATTGTGCCCCGGCGATTTATGATAGTCACAATACCGGGACTTGTCCAATTTTTCTTCAGGCATCCGAAGTGGTTTGGGGTCCGGTAGAATGCCTTTTCCTTTGATCTCTTCGTAAATGGTAGCCGCCCCTGCAGAGTATACGGTTTGATAACCGGACTTCACATCGGTAGCATACTGCTTTCGGGCTGCTCGAACTTCAGGATCATTGGGGTCTCCTCGGGGAGGTCCCCTGAATTGAGTCTTGCTGTGCTTGTCGAAAAATTTATTTTTATTTTTCTCATCGGTCCCCGCCTTAGAAGACTTCGGGTTAAAGTTAAAATCGGGAACTGACATGGCTTCCTCTGCTATGATGTGTTGCTGAGCTCGAGCAAGAAATTCTTGAAAAGTATTTGGTTTATTTTGGCACAGCGTCCATCGGAAAATCGAATTCGGTTTCAGTCCGGCAATAGCCATGACAAGCAAGGTTTCGGGGTGACAAGGTTCCATGTTTTGAACTCGGTCATTAAACCGGGCAATATAATCCTTGACACTTTCGTCATCTTTCTAAGTTATATTTACGAGAGATTCTTTTGGAATTAAACAAACTTGAGCTCCGATGAAATGAGATTGGAAAGCCGACCTTAGTTGTTGCCACTTCCAAATCGAATGGGGAGGAAGAGAATGGTACCATTTTTGGGCTCGAGGTCCTAGTGTAAGTGAAAATATTCGACACCGGAGTGCGTCTGAAGCCCCATGCAGATCCATCCAGGAAGTATAATGACCGAGGTGTGAGTCAGGGTCTGACGTTCCATCGTATAGCCCGATCTGGGGGACTTTGACTTTCCCCGGCACAGGTTCCGAAGTGAGTTCGGAGTGAGGGGGGAATCGGCTTCCAAATATACTTGCGCCGAAGTTGAGGCCCGCCGAGGGGGGTTTTCGGGTGCCCGTTGCCGACTTTCCAATTCGGCGATTCTTCGTCGCAGTGATTCAAGTTCGGATGACTCTTGACGAGCCCAATTTTTTTCTATGTGCTGCCGAAGGTCGGCTTACGCCGGGTTGGAGGGGTTTCGGTGCTGTGCACGAGGCGGTGACCGTCGGGGGTGACCAGACTGGCTTTCGGCGGTTTCTTCGTGAGGAAGTATAAGAGGATTGTGCCCGAAGTCGGTGCGACGCGTGGTATGTTCTGGGGGTGGTTGCGACGCTCTATCACGAGGTTGAGAGGTTGCGTGAGATGTAGTTCTTCCGCCGCCTCGCTGCACCGGTGGATTCTGCGGATTTGCAGGAGTCGCTGGTATCATAGAGTGTCCTGGGGCAGTCGTCGATGTCCCGGGGATCGTTTGAGCCATCAGAGCGGTGAAACCACGTGCAAATTCTGGATTTTGAAACAAAACAGTGTAATCTGGTACAGGGGGAGCTACGGCCTGCCGTCTGGCGGAGTGGGCAGCGCTGCGACTGTGGCCGTCTCGTGAAATATTACCACGATGATCTGAATGAGACATTTTGGATATGGCTAGTCTGACTCGTTACTTGACAAAGCGGAGATTAACCTCAAATCACTTATGAGGCCCTTCCTCTAGCGCCAAACTGTTGTTGTGTGATTCTTAACAACGATTTAAAGTTGAGTTTATAGGATAATTTGAAGTGGTTCGAACGTAAAGCATGTAGGAAATGTTCAACAATGGCCCCGGTCCGAGGTGATCCGAGGTGAAAAGCCTTTATAGGCTATTGCGCGTTGCATATTCGTAAGTTCGGAATCCCCGTACAAGTGTCATTGGGTCGCTATTTATAGTAGCTTTTCCGATGGATACATTGGAATTCGTGTATTATTTTTCGTATAAAGTAACTTTTGGTGGGCGGTTGGAACAGTGGATCCCACGCGAATGATGACACATCTCGTAGACCGTGATAGGGGTGTGTAGGCGCCTTGTCACCTGCTTTAGGAGGTGACGACCTCGGTTTAGGTTGACCTCGAGAGGTAAAGGTTACTTCGGTCTTTAGCGGCTCGGATCGGCTCATTGCGTGGACTAGCACGGCCTTGGATCACGTCGGTTTAATAGTTAATTTCACTTAACATGATGCTTAAAACTCCTTAATGATGTTTTGCCGAGTTGGATGATAACATGGTATTCCCACGGTGAGCAAGTGTTCGCTCACCCCCATTGATATCTCTCTTTTTAGGTTGAGCTGGTGGCTGTGGAAATAAGACGAGCGAGGAAGGGTCATTATGTGTTATTGAACTGTTTTACCTGCTTCCGCTTTTATCTAGTATTTATCTCTTGTCAGCATGATTATTATTGCTTTTATGGAAATTGAACCATGTTTGGTTTTGGAAATTATTATGCATGTTTGAAATTTGAACTTGAAATTTGATTATTTTATAATTATCAGATTATTTCATATGGTTGAACATCTATTGGAATATGTTGAATGTTGACGTGAGATAAATTACGTTCGGGATAGTTGTTCCCTGTTTTTTAAGTGTAACCTTCACTGTTGATATGTGCAGTGTTTGAATAGCACCCGTTAAATAAAGTTTAAAATCGATTTGGGGATATTTAACTCTGATTTTAGAAAAATAATTCGGTATTTTTCTATTAAAATAACGGGGCGTTACAAATAACAAAACGCAGGTCGAGGCTCAACTCCTCAAACACTTACATTATATAAAATAGTCCTATAAATAACTATTTAACACACGAACACTTATAACTACACCCACGCGATTGAACTCAGCCACACAATTCATAAAAGCATGCAGGCAAAACAAACACATCATTTCCGAACACATAAAACGAATTTTTTCAAAACATAACCCATGCAGCGTTTTTAAAATCGACATTACTTGCAGCACACAAATCATATCAACCTGACTCAAGTTGCACTAGAACCCTAAGACATGCCTCTACAATTCTTATGAAGATACCGAAAACAAATAACGGCATTTAGCAGGAGATTAATCATCAAACATACAAAACTGAATTGGAGACCACCATTGAAAATTTAACAGCTGACAGGACCTCAGTATTTGCAAGATAACTGGAGCTACAAGCCTCCAAAAGACTTGATTTAAAAAATAACAGATAGCTAACTCGATTATCTACAACTTTGCTGAAGATCATATTGGCAAATAACAACATTATCAACACGTTTAAACACAAAACATGCGGTTCATAAAATCTGTCAGAAACAAGTTCATGCTACAAACAGCACTTCAGTAAAATGACTCCAACTCATGCTACATAGCTCCTATCAGCATTAATCCTATCTCATTACAAAGCTAAGAAAAAGACTTATAACTTTCATGAAGACATCAGTTGAAAATAAAGCCGTTCAACAGGAAATAAATCGACATACATATAGAACATGTTTCAGCTTAAAAATCTAGAAAACAACACATGCATAGGTTCAGAAAAACAAGCTTATCTCTTACTACAGACATCACCTCGACTTGAACTATATATGTATTAAATCTAAGAAACAGCTGTAACATTTTCATGAACACCACAAATTCATTTGAGCGCATAAAACACCATAAACAGATCAGACATGAAATATGTACATGCTGACAGGAGTTGTTAAAAACTGCTTGTGCGACAATTTTATAAAATTCATAACTTATTCGTTTCAAGTAGGAAATTCGGAATCACATGATTCCAGAGCCCAGAGAAAGCTAACAAAATGAACTTCATTTCATATGAAGGACCCGACACCAGATAACAAGTTTCTGAGGGTCATTTAAGCAGTATAACAGAACAACAAATACAAGATAAACCATGCAATAATTACATCATACGATTCTATTCAACAATGGCATTTAACGAGCACAATTACAACTTCAAATAACATACTTTAAGCATATAATCACAACAAACAGAGGCTCGACATCACATCAACAACAAGACCACACTACAACTCAACATGCCTTTAAAATAAATTCTAAACATTAAAAGAAGGTTAAGCCTTGTACCTTCTTCTAAAAATTTACTAATAGTCTCGAAAGAAAGGGGAAACGGAGCCTCAGACACTCGACCTCGAAAAACTCGATAAAACCCGTCTTTGCAACCCAGCTGTTGGAAGTCTTCTCGCACTTATGGGGCTGCTCAAAAGCGGGTTAAAAGGAACTAACCCACTGCTTCCCTCGACGAGGGGCTCGAGATACGGCTTTTGCTGAACGGGGAAAAGGCCCGGCAACTACTCGTCTCTAAAGGGTTCTGCTACTGACATAAAAAAGACAGCTGCTAGCTAAAGAAGAAATCAGTCACCGCTCGTTGGAAGACAAACTGGACAACTACTGCTCGATGCCAATGTTCGAGGACCCCGGCTGTAACGTGCGGCGACGCACGACAGACTTCGGACGACTCTCCTCGGCTCGAACAAAGGCTGGCCGTGAGGAAATTCCTTGGACCTGCTACTCGCCGTTCGCCGGGCCTGGATGCTCGCCGAAAAACTCACGGCCACTGCTTGTTGAAAAAAAAAAAGGAAACCTGCTGCTGCTGTGAACAGAAACCGGCGAGAAGCTGCTAGAATGCACAGCTATGGAGGTTCACAGGAAAAAGAAGACGAGCCTGCTCCGAGAAGAAGTCATCAGGCAGGGCTCCGGTCTGTTGAAGTCTCGCCTCTGTTTTCTGTGGTCGTCGGGGCTCGACTGTTCACGGTACACCGGCGAGGAGAAAGGCTCGCGGTGGCTGCTCGAAGGCTGGACAGAGGTTCGTTGGTCGGGCTGAGATCTTATCACTGCAAGTGCTCGTTTTTCTGGCCAAGCGTTAAGTCCACGTCTCCCAGCAAGAAGGTTTTTACAGCGACGGCAGAAAAGGTGTTGTTCACTGTCGCAACTGACGATGGTGCAGGAGACGATTGAAGGGTTAGATTAACTGGCGATGGTGATGAGAAAAATCTCTTCTCTGCATCTTTTTTTTTAACGCGACAATAGTGAGAGGGATGAGAGCAATCGATAGAGATGGAGAGATACAAGCGAATTTGAGAGAGAAAAGCAGGGTGACTGCGGGTGAAATTGAAAAAGAAGGAAAAAAAGGTTTAACCCTAAACACAATACTAGGTTTATTAGCTTGCCAACCAAGAGAAACACAAGGGAAGGGGCTGGTGCGGGTTTGGTGAGGGTCAAAGGCACACGGCGGGTTCATTTCTGGGTTCGACCTAGCCAATGAAATAAACTAAACCGGATAACATATATATATATATATCACACATAATATTAAATAATAATAAGTAATTAGACAATTTGGTAATTATAATAAGTTAGACAATTACTATCAAATGAAAATAATAATGCATAATCACATAATAATGCCAATATAATAATATCCAAAAATAAATCCAATAATCAAACGGGTTAAATCTGAACTACGCGATTACACCGAAATCGCCGAACGACGAACGTTTTAAAATAAAACGATTGAGTACTTAAACCCATAATTTAAGTACCTCA